CAGAAACAAACACCCACAGCCAGCCATGGAAAGCCTGCAGATGGCGCAGATGCTGGCTGATCTCAGCAGTCTGAACGCGGCGGTAAGCCAACCCCTCCTCCCTCTTCTCCCAGTGATGTCGTGTGCCCGCCCCCGCTTGGCACACTTTTTCGACGAAATCTGGCAGCAAACATCGGAAGAGCTGACTCTTTCTTTCCTCGTCTTGTTCAGGAACCAAACGCTGCCGCCGCCCTCGTCACAGCAAACAAGGCCATCCAAAAAGTCGAACAAGACCGCCACAGCCACGCCGCCCCGCGCCGCCCCTCCGACGACCTCCGCCGCGCCCAGTCGGCGCAGGCCATCCCGCGGACGAACACGGGCTCCTCGTCCCCGAGCGCAGGCGCAGGCGGCCCCGCGCGCCACGACAAGTTCGGCCGCCGCATCCTCATGAGCCCGCCGCTGACGCGCACCAACTCGGCCCAGGGCTCCGTCCCCGGCACGCCGCGGCGCGACTCGGACGCGGAGGACGACCTCGACCGCGCGTCGACGCTCATGGCGCTGTATGACATTCGCGCCAAGCTCAAGCAGCAGGACAACAGCAGCCTCATGAAGGCTCGCGAGAAGATTGCCGAGCTCGCGGCGCGGCAGCAGGCGCAGGCGGGAGCGGGGGCGGGAGCCAAGAGGGACGCTGACAAGGGCCCTCCGCGGTACTCGTATCCCAAGTGATGTGCGCACGCTCGGCGAGGAGCACATGGGCATTTCCCTCCCCGGCACCGAGGTGGTGATTAGGGCCACGAGGCGTTTTTGTTTTTCGGAGCCAGGACATGTTATTCCTTTCAGTAATGACCAGGGAGTTGGGCGTGTGGCAAATACCTTGAGAAAACACCACATGGGCGTGGCGGTCATTCTCTCTTCTTCGAGACACATACATGCGGGGAGCTACAGTCTTCTGATCGATGGAGGCTTTACGACATGGCATTTGGTCCCCGGCGATGGGATTGGGGGCAACGGCTTGGAATGCCGGCCACGCGACGATTCTCCACTCTGACATTCATTGCAAGAGGATTGCAAGAGGGAAAAAAAGGGTTCTGGGAGCACGGATCTTATGCTGGAGTAGGGAAATTGGGTTCAGGACGGCGAAGCTTCGTCCATGGAACAAGGGACACATTCACACGAACGAACTACAGCGCCATGACATCCTTAGCACCTAACTAATGAATGACAAGCAACACACCATCGAGGAGCTTTGCCCTGGGGCGTCGTGGCTGTAGATGACCAATACTGGAAAGTCGAGTTCGAGGCTCGAGGCAAATCATCAGGCAGCAACAGTAGCGGTGACTCGGAACAAGGAAGCCGTTGGGGCGATCAAAGTAAAAGGCTGCGCACTCCGGAGAGAGTGTCGATGTGGCGGAGCAATTGACCATGATGGATGGCTCCGTATCGATGACCCGTCTTTCGAGACATGCTGGAAATCTGACTGACGGTAGCATGCATGCAAGTCACACACGGCACTCTTTCCCCAGCCCCAGGTGGCGGGACGCGCAAATCTGTTTGTCCGCCATGTTTCCTGCTCGGAACACAGCCGATCTCAAACAGATGCTCTTCCGCCAAGCCCTCGGCACATCGCAGGCAGAAACGGCACAACTGTCCAGCGCAGTGGTCCTCTGTTCGCGCTCGAGTGCTTGTTGTAACGGCACAGACTAGCGGTGTCGTAATCTGGGCTGGGCTTGTTAGCTCCATGGAGCTTGGTCGCGTTGGACAGGAGGCGTGCTAGAGCTCTCGGCACTGGGATGCGGTCGTGGCCTGGTGGCTCAGCGCGGTCATGGGGCGTTTACAAAGCTTAGGAGGCAGGCGAGGCAAGGTACGGGGCCTTGGTACCTTTACCTTGGGGCACTGTACAACAGCGTGCCGACAGCGTGGGCTAGCAGCAAGCTTGACAGAGAGCTCGTACGACGCTCCAAACGTGGTCGCAGAATTGGGGGAGGGTAACGTGAGGGGCAGGGCATCCACCTCATACAGCGAGCCATGACGATCAGCACCTGGCCGGATGTGGCCATCCTGGTGATGACCGGGGGGATGATGTGGGGATGATGTGAGTGGGCGTGGCCAGAGAAGCGGAGGGGACGCTCAGCTGCTCCGCCACCCCGGCCAGGTATCGGTACCTCCGTTACGCGTACGACAGCCCGCTCTTCAGCAAGTACCCTGGCAGCCTCGGAAGCTCCATCGTGCACGCTCGGCCACGCAACCACGTAACCTCTCGCTGAAGACCACAGCCAAGGCCAGAGACCACAGCCAAGGCTGGACACCACAGCCAAGCCCAACACTGACTCTCGCCGTCTGTGGTCCGGTTCGTTCCCATGCCCAGACAAGAAGGGCCCAGACAAGAAGGGCTCAGTCGACGACGTCGTGTTTGCGCTTGGCCATGTCGCCTGACGCAGCATTACATATGGGCCACCCATTCGCCCCGAATTCTGCCTCCCTTTGCTCTCCCCCCCCTCAATTCTGATCTCCCCATTCGAACCAGCCAGCAAACAACGGGCTCGGTCAGTCATCACGAGTCATCGACAGTGACCTACAACACGCACCCAAACAACGAGCCTGCAGGTCCTGCATCCACCGCACCGGAATAAGCTTCGCGGGCTACAGCGTTACTGTCCACCAAGAACTGCGGCGTCGCCTCGATCCGGCGCATTCAGGTGCCCCCCACCACGTCATCGACCCGAACGCCCTTTGAAACCGGCATCTTCCTGCACCGCACCTGATCCCTGTCGGCCCTTGGCATCATTCTCTGCCTTATCCATCATCCATCGCCAGATTGATCCAAGCCGGCGTCCTTGTTTTCAACAACTACAACATCAACCACAAACCATACCTCACAATCACGATGGCTGCCTTCTTCCCTGCTGAGGACGAGCTCGTCAAGAGGCATGTCGCGTGCTGTTAACGAGTTCCTTTTCCAGACAGATACTAACACGCATGACCCAGGCAATTTGGCTGCCCCTCGGGCACATATTACAGGAATGGCCGCTGCTACACGCGCAATCGCAGCAGTTGGTACTACTGGGGTCGCTGGGTTCTCGCCGGCGTTCTCGTCCTAGTCTTCCTCCTCATCCTCTGCGCTCTCGGGTACGTTTTTTTTTTTTTTTTCATCTCCCTCTCTCCCATCGCCAACAGTCTTCTGGCCCCGGCCCGTATCCAGCGCACATGAGCTGACCGTTCCCAACAGTTGCTTCAGCTCCCGCAAGCGCAGAAGAAAGGGCAACACCCCCATGTACGGCACCGGCTGGATGACCAACAACCGCTGGGGCGCCAACCAGCACCAGAACAACCAGCACGCCTACAACCAGCAGCAGCAGTACGGCTACGGTCAGCAGGGCTACAACGCGCCGCCGGCGTACGGCCAGCAGCCCCAGCACACGGGCACCACCTTTAACCCGAACGACGGCTACTACGGCAATCACGACAACATTCAGCTGCAGCAGCCCCAGCAGACGTATAACCGTGGCGTCGACGATTTTGCGCCGCCTTCTGGGCCGCCTCCCAAGGCGTGAAGCGGGTCTGAATCTTTGTCTTGCGCGAGGCTAGGCTGGGCTGGCGCGTCGCTGAGGGAGACGTCAGCCAGTCGAGGTGCGAAACTGCGTTACTGGCTGGAAAGGGGAAGCAAATGATACCTGATTTGATGCGGGATTGTCGCCCCCAGATGTCGCGCGATCGGTTTTTTTTTCTTTGGCAGGACGATGGCTCTACCATGGCGATAGCGATATTTGGGCTCGCGGCTGTCGCCGGGTAGTGCACCGCATGCTTGATGATAGATGTTCTTCCCTGCGATGGGTGTATGTTGACGAGAATAGTAATGTGTACCAATTTTACATGTCATGCGCCACTCGGTTGATCACCCAGAATATGCACATCGGAATAATCGCCACCCCCGGCCCTCACGTAGCCGTCGGTTATCGTCTCTGCCGGGTAGTTGGGGGCTTGCATTACCTTGCGCTGCCGATCTGGCAGCGGCACTTGTATGCAGGCTGGAGAACAGCAACGAGATTATTGCGAGAGCAGGGATCGCAGATTGTCGTGTTCGAATGTGGCCCGAGATTGAACTTTGGTCGAAGCAACAACGACACCGAGCGAAGTCAGCCCTCAATGGAAAGAAGTGCCATGTTTGGCCTGTTTCCAACTTGCAGAGTCGAGATCGACACAGTTTTTGCAAGGGCAAAAATCTTTCAAACGCTTTAATTCATCGTCATCCCTATCAACGCTGAGGCTGCCCCAGCAGCTGATCTTTAGGTCCTTTCTCTCCGAGCTGCAACACTACCAGAGGTAAACTATCCCCATCGTGCCCAAAGTCTACCTGTCGCGCTCTCACTGCTCTGTAGGCCAGAAGTGGTACCTCAGACAGCCGGCATCAATGGTCCCGCCCGCGCCTCCGTTATCGCGACCTGTTCGCAAGCCATGTTAGCGAACCGCCCGCGGTCTTGCTCATCGCGGATGCACTTACACTCTACGTACAGCCCCCTCATGAGGCCGTTGCACGTGACGCTGTCATCTCCAGGGATGGGCAAGTCGGCTTTCTGCCCATCGGCATGCTCGCACCCCTCGACCCAGGAAATGTTGAAGTTCTGGTGGAGGTCCGCGTACGGGCCGATGGGGTGCATGTACATCTCCTTCAGCTTGTCGTCTCCCTTGTTCAGCGTGACGCCTTCCGCCGTCCACTTGCAGTACGTCTCGGACCAGAACTTCTGCTGGTCGTTGTGCACGTCGTCGTGGCTGTAGCCGTCGTTGCACTGGCGCTCTCCCACCTTGAGCTCGGGCTCCGGGGGCTCGGGCTCGGCCGTCTTCTCGACCTTCCAGGCGAACTTGCCGCACCCGACGTCGATGGAGGAATCGGCGAACATGATGTCGCCGACTGAGCCGTGGTTGGTGCCGCCTGGCAAAGCAGTGTCAGCAGTCTGCGGCTAGGCGCCATGCAGGGACCGAGCTGCGAGGCCAGGAGGGGGTCAGACGGGGTGAACTTACAGTTGCTCTTGACCAGGGCCTCGTACGCGTTCTTGCAGAGGTCGTCCTTGGGAACCAGGCAGTCGTCGCCCCCGGGCGTGTAGCTCAGGAAGAACCGGTAGTCGAGATAATTGTCGGGGTTCGTCGGCGGGGACCTCCTCCCGAGCCATCGCGCCGTGAGGTCTGTGGACGCCGCCGCGGCGACGGCGGCTCGGAGGAGGGGGATCTTGTTGCCGTGGATGTCGTACGCTACGGGGAGGCGTTCGTTGCCGAGATCACCCATGACGTCCTTGCAGAACTCGACCGACGTCTTGTCGACGAGATACTTGCTCGGGACGTTGGTGAGGTCGTTGGGGCATTCGATGGTGGGTTGCAGTGGCTTGTCCTTGAGCACGCCGGCGACGTCCAGGATCTGTTGCATCAACTCGCCGTCCGGATAGCTGGCGATCTCTTTCGCGTCGGTTCTGCACTTGCAGCCCTTGCCGTCGCCCTAGCGTTCCGAGTCAGCCACCTTGTTTGTAGACGTCAGAAGTTCGTGTGGGCATGGCAGCCCACAACGTTCACTCACCTCTGAGCAGGCCCAGTAGTTTATGTCAGTCACGCGAGGGTCCTCAAGTTTGACTGCAGTAGGCTTGCAGGCTTTATCGCAGGGAGGCTTGATAACATATGTAAGATGAGATATCACATGAGATGAGGAGCGGTGATCGTCGGCAACTTACGGGTCCATCTGTCTGCACAGCACAGCTTGAAGTGGTAGTCGTCGTCGTCTCGGACTTGGTCTTGGTGACCGTGTGAACGCTCTCGGCCGGGATCTTCTGAGCAAAGGACAGCTCCTTGCCCTCCTTGAGGGTGCCATAGAGCCATGCCAAGAACGAACCCGCTGTGACGGTCGAGCCTCCCCAGACTGCCGCCGCCTCTGCGGCACCGGCGCCGGATAGAATCTCACCAATCGCGGCAGCCTCTTCTGGCGACGAAATGACGATGCTCTCGGCAGTGCCGTCACCCTCGGCGGCCTCGAAGAATCCCTCTTCGTCTTCGGAAAAGTAGCCCTCGTCCTCGTGACCGACCTGTCCGCCATCGCCCTCCCAGCCAGGATCGTCGGCAGGATCGCCGGAGTAGCCCTCGTCAAAGTCGTTGAAGACCTGGTCCGTAAGCGGGTGGGCAAATGTCTCCTGCAGCTCTTGGTCGGCGCCGACGCGTTGCACAAAGTCAGCCAGGCCACAGGCTGGGCCGGCTCGTTTGCGGTTCCGGACTTGGCGCCGACGCTTGGCTGCACATGGCGTTACTTCCTTGGCGATAGCCTCAAGCTTGGCCTTGACGGCGGGGCTTATGAGGATATCGAGACCGCCCTCGGCGTTCTTGCTGGCGCTGATGCCCTTGGTGAGGGTCACCACCCCGGTCTCACCCGCGGCGTTCGTCGTGGTTACTTGGGTGACGGCAATGTGAGAAGGGTCAACGCCGATCCACTACGACATGGAGGTTTGATCAGTATTGAAGGTCTTGAGAGCGTAATTTCTTCTTCTTTCCTAGTCTGGCAACCTACCGTGGTTGAACCATTTTCTTCAGAGAGGTACTTTGTGTGTCCCTCAATGTTTACCGGTCTGCGTTTTGGACATGTAAGCCCTCGTACAGCTCTAGGTTACCACAAGTGCATGGCAAAAAACACTTACGTAGGCTCTGGGCCTGGAGGATTGATACCAATCTGCCCAGCTTCGGTGGGTATGACTGCAGCTGCCCGAACACTATAGAGTCTCGTCAGCAATGGTTGTCTGTAAGTCGCCGTGTTTGAATTACCCATCAGGAGCTGGTGGATCTTGGCGGATATAAAGGTTGCCTTTATGGGTAGCCAGCGCAGCAAGCGCAGGTCCTGGTTGGACACTGGCCGCAACATGAAGCCATAAGCCGCAACTAACAACGGCCCTGTATGTGGCCCTCATTATTGATAGAAGAGTGAATGCAATGAAACGAGAATTTGGAGAAGCTCAAGGAGATGGTGGATACTATTTGATATCTTCTTGGCTACTTTCTGAAGTCAAGAACCATTCTGATGCAGGTACTTCAAGGTTGTTGGGGCGACTGCTCTTATAACTACCAGCTGATACGCGAGGATTTCGTGAGACCAGTTGCCGTCTTGTCACTCTGTCGACTGATATGCCTCGAAAGAGACTTGATCCATGATTTGATATTCACATCTATGAATAGACACTTCTTGCCCAATACGCATACAGGCAGCGTTAACATTGGGCGGTATGGGGGCAAGTAGATGTTCTGTACACAGCCCACTACGTTCTCCTGGATGGGTTGTCAGATTGATGGATCATACAGCCCCCACGAAGCTGATGGCCAAGTTTTGTGTGTGGTTACGAACTTGGTGTGAGGTGTGTGAAGTTGAGAAACTGCAAATGTTTCCCGGATTACCGAGTGCAGAACATCCAGTTTGCATCGACCGACGAGTCATCCGATTTTCGAATCTTGCCCCCTTTTCTTGGTCAGAGTTGTTCGTCGCTAGGGCTGAGTCGTGCCTGGATCAGTGCCGATCCGTCAGCAGGTTGCAACCTACAGGCTGTGCTGCTCACCTCTATAGCCCCCAGACTGCGCCAGATACGCCGCGAGCGGGCATAATGGCCGCAAGGGGTGGAGTTTTCAGTGCTGGATAGAATCCTACCAAGATCGGGTAACGAATGGGTCACCAAGGCAAGTCGGCTGGATGCAGGTACGCGGATTTTTTCATAGGTCGTTCAGTCAGGCAACCGTTGAGTCCACCCGATTCAAGCCGCTGCTGGCCCCCACAGGAGGCATCACCGCAGCACACCATCACCAGATTAGCGAGGCTGTGCAGGCGATGGCAATCAATGAACACGATCATTTGGGCCAACATTTCCTGCCGCCCACTGGGGACACATTTCTAACGTTCATGTGCATACAGGATCTGCCACTTTTCTCATCCAGTCATCTGATTACGGTCATCTTGAAAAAGTGACCAGCAACATGACCGTCTGGAGGTGTTCTAGACGTGACAGTAAGAAACCGACGGCCCCTCGTTCCATCTGAAGGATTCTGGGGTCCATGACTGAGCCTTGGAGTCTGGAGTCAGACGGCTTATACGAAAGCTGATACAAGTGAACTTGCAAAATGAAGCCTCTTTAGGCAAACAGAGGGTGTGTACACTCGAGGGTTGCAAGGCACGGCAATGCTAAGAATATCTCATTCGCATGCCAGCAAGTTGCCGTCTCTGCTCATGTTGAGGAGATAACTAGACCTCAGAGTCAAAAGAATACAAAAGCAGCGCAACGAGTCCTCGATCTCCAGCATGAGCGAGAAAGTCGCCCAAGATCAAACTTGAGCACAGAACCGCAATCTTCAAGTCCCTTTCATTAGCCACTCTTCCAAGTTCGTTTTTATCGTGGGGTATTCCATATCTCAACATGCGTCTCTTACAGGTGACGTTCTTGGCTCTACAAGCCACCGCTCTGGTCGAGGCGGGCTTCATAAAATGGACGCTTCACTCATCCTGCTGTACGTTACCTCTCGTATTGAGTTCAATCTGCGCGATGGCAGAAGTGGCAGTCCGCTCAGAAACCATTACTGACAGGGTCGTTGGACAGACCGGGACGCAGCAGGCGCTGATGACCCAGCAACGGCCGACGCCATCATCAACGCCGTCGAGACGGCCAAAAAGTGGGCGAGCAACGGCGAGACTGCGCTCCGAAACTCCAACATCCCGCTCATTGGCAAGAATCTTAAGAAAGTCTTGGAAAACCTGCTTGGCACAGGCGACGACTACAAGACCAAGTTGGATATCGCAAGGGGTATGTACTGCTTCCTCCCCGGGCGAGCACGCTTTGCTGCACGCAACATGACCCATCCGGGTCTCGTCAATCTGAGCCCCCGTTCACTGAAAACCGCCTTCCGCAGAAAAATTCAAGCTTTTCAAAGAGCTTGAAGGGCCCATTGGCAAGGATGGTCCACCGGATGCGAGATACGAAAAGTCTCAGGCATGGCGGGACTTGGCGGGCACAGATGAACACCACAAGCACTTTGTAAGAGCACGTCCGAGGACGAGAAGCTGGGGTTTGTTCACTAACTCTTCTCGCTCAGGTCATCTCCTGTCGTCCAGACCTGACTGTCGTCGACCCAGACAATGAGGATGCCGGCTGGACGGACAACATTCGAGGCGTTGTAGAGCAGGGCAGGTCCGACCTGCCCACCATGCTCAGTCAGGAGGCCAAGCCGTGGACCGAAATCATGAAGCTACCAGGCGTGCCGATGGCCGTCACGAGGCGCATTGAAGATCCCAGTCAAGACCAGCTGAGAGTCGTCGCCTCCGTTACGTTCCATCCGTCCTATCTCAACCATCTGCGGCAGAACAACTGGGGTGCCTGGAGTGATGCGCTCTTTGCCGACAACACGAGGGGGGATGCGCTGCAAGAGTATCGTGTCAAGGGGAGGGCCCGTCCCGTTGATGGGCTGTTGACGTTTTCCATCGTGAAGACGATGTTTCACGAGGTAAGTTGTCAGAGCCTTCTACATTGGGACGAGATCTGCGAGAGCTGACATGGTAACTCAGATGTTCCATCTGGGACCTTGGGGCGCCATGACGGATGCCTCCTTTAGTGGCAGGGCCTATGGATGGCTCAACAACATTGAAGACAAATTCACAGACAACCCCGACTGGTTCGCCATGCTGGCTGCGCTCATTGAGCTTTATGAGAATGGATTCGCGGGCAAAAAGTACATCGTCACAGACCTCGGCGAGGTGAAGCGTAGATGAGAGATCCAACGAGGGCAGGCCTCGGAATGATCAGTCATGCTTCACGGGAAGATGGACTCAAGAATACAGCGTGGCCACTTGAGGAGCTGTCTGTTTCTACCTGGAAGAGATGTTCCTATGATGAGATAGTTTGCGATCTTAGTACCATATGTTTGGTTTGGTATCTCGAGTTCCAACACTCTGCAAACCAACATGCCAGAGTGCCATGAAACACAAGATGAGGGAATGGATGAGATATTTCACGTTCACAACGAAGCTGTATTATACGCCACGGTCACAATTGTGCTGGCAAGGATTCCGGGCAGTTAGACATGATGCCTATCGTGGTCATGCAGTGAACATCAACCAGCTTTTTTAACTCAGTTGCCTATGCTGACATCCGCACCTTATGTATTACGTTGTTTGCAAAGTCTATTGAGGGTCTATGGCGTTGAGGGCTCCGTGAAATGACACGCTGTCACGTCAGGAGGCGCCTGAGGAGCTACAGAACGTGGGGGCTGGCCAGGGGCTGAGGAAGAACTTGTTAATGAAGATCCAATTGCTCCTTGACGATTACTGCACAAGGAGCCGCCCGAACTGCTCCCATACACAGGTGAAAACACAACACGGTTAGCAAGCCCCTCAACCTGAAAATCACGATTCCCAGATGGACAAGTCGTGGGCCTAATCTAGCTTGATACCACCACCTTCGGTTGCCAACCGAACTTCTCTATAAAACAGTCAGTGATGTCGCGAGCCACTCGGCAAAAGATAGGGGCGACCAACCTCTGCACACAGGTATGGATAAGTCCGTCCAGCGGTTTGCCAGGCATGATTGCATTGAGATACGGGTGAAATCGATCTCCAAGGCCGCGCTTGAACAATGTGACTCCGGGCGGAGCAATGTCCTCGACGCGGCCGTCATCTTCTGGACCGATGCCCGGACCTAGGGCAGTGCTGATGGTGACCGAAGGAACGCTCGAAAAGCAAGCCAGAGCTTCGTGCAGCGTCTCGCGAGAGAAATGCTTGATTCCCGAAAAGTTCAGAGCGTCCTCGGGCAGAGGCATCAGCGACCGAGAGTCGATCCATATGTTGACGTTGGTCAGGTGCTCAAATCGGTCCAAGCGCAGCCAGTGAAAGTCGTAGACAGCGTGCCGCATCGCCAACCCGGGGAGATCCTTGGTCGCGCAGAGCAGGTCGAGGGGAAACGTGGGAAACAGTGAGAGCTCGAAGGTTCTGGCGTACTTGTAGAACGCGGGCGGCGTGAGGCCGCGCTTCGGCCAGGCTTGCATGAACGGTGGCAAAGCGCAGTAGCCAAACCACATCTGGACCGTTTTCATGTCGGTGAAGACGAATGTCGTGGACTCGTAGATTGACCTGAGGCATTCGGCAGAGCTGGAAGCAGGGGTATCAGCACTTGTGCATCGGCGCCGGGCTCTATCGTGCAGGGCGGCGTTCATACATGGCTTTGCACGACAGAAGCATGGGCATGTAGACGTTTGGGACGGCCTCGGGCTCGACACCGGGCACCGTCTTTCCTTTCCAGCAAAAGCGGGAGGTGAGGAAGCCCATGATGGCGTCGAACCCATGGGCCTTTTCGGCCCGCTCGCCGCAGGCCCAGTGGTTGAGCCAGGGGCTTTGCATCCGTCGGCCATAGAGAGTGGATCTCGGGTCTCGATTCTTCTCGATATCCTCGCCGAGGGGCACATCAAGGTCACGCCTTAGTTGCTCGATGTCCTGCTGCAGCGGACTCTCGACACAAAAGTCGGTCGTGCACGCCCAGCGACAAAAGTGTCTCGCGTTGCAGTCGCTCTCGTAGCTGTGGAATAGGATGTGCTGGCGCAGGCCGCTGGAGCGCCACAGCTCGAGATAGATGGCATCGCGCACTTCTCTCGGCAGGGTCGTGATGAAGGCAGACTGCGTCTGGGGATTGGCGTCCATTGTGTTGTGTTTGGTTCAAAGCAAGAAAGAATTCAAGGTCGCGACTTGAATGTCACTGGTGAAGCCGAGGTAGGCGGGCACGCAGGCAGGCATGACATGTTGAAGCTTATCACTAGCTCTCTGGTCGATGAGATGATGCACTTGGAGAAGGGGGAGACCAAGTACCGAAGGTCAAATGTCAAGTGTTGGGGGCCGCGATGAGAATAGCTCTTTAGTCTGCACATGGGATGATGATGCGTTTGGGGGCCGAAGCAGAAGGATCGGAATATAACCAGGTCCAGTGCCGGATACCAGGCCAGGTGCGATCTGCAGGACAGCGTCGCAACATGGTAAGGCACCTTCCCAAGAAGGACATCAGTCAGCAAGCTGTGGCTTGTGTGTCCAAGGGCAGTGAAAGCGTGGCGCAGCGCGGACGGAGACGGGGCTGTGGTCATTACATAAGGTGGATCGGCCATGTTTCAGATAATCAGGGACCTGACGATCCTCCATGAGCCAGTCCCCACAACAGGCCCACAGCGGCCCCCTCAGCGTCCCCTCAGCGCCCTCAGCGTCCCCTCAGCGTAACCATGGGCGTCCCCTAGAGCCGTGCCTAAATTGCGGTCGACATTCCCGTCATTTGGCTGCTTGCGGACGGGACAAGGCTCTTGTGTCGAGGACCTCGGTGGGTACTGTACCAAGTGTACTCCGATGGTTAAGGTAGGGAGGTAGGGAGGTAGGCCGCGTCGCTTGGCCAGGATTCAGGGGCCAGAGAGGCACATGCTCTCCCCGCTCTGCGCCGTTTCGAGAGGGGGAAAGAGGGACGAAAAGGCCTCCTAGGCAGCTCACAGGGGTGACGAGGGTGGGAGGAAGACGGCGCTAGTTTGGCAGTGGGCATTGGCAGTGGGATCAATTGTCGCAGCCGGCCGCCGTCCCCTTCAGCTTCGTCCCGCAAAACCTAATGTACCTACCTAAGGTAAGGTACCTAATGTAAGGTACTCGAGGCAGCCAGCCCCCAGCCCCCTTCTGGCGCGCCCTTTCCGCATCCCTTCATCTCTGCTCTCGCACGCTCCTCAACGCTGTGACGTGACGGCACGAGTGCTCAGGGAGGCAAGACGTATCCAGGTTAGCCTAGCCCTCGCCAGGAAGAACCGTCGCTGCCTGTTCTCTTCGTTGTTTCGACTTGTACATTCATCGCCAATCATCGGCGCAACCTCTCTCTCTCTCTCTCTCTCTCTCTCTCTCTCTCTCTCTCTCTCTCTCTCTCTACCTACCTTACATACCTACCTAAGGTACCCTACAGCATTGGTCCTCTGCTTCACGCAAAACAGCGCAGCTTGCCAAACGATTATACGAGCCGGCATCAATCGCATCCCCGATCGATACGACCCTATTCGTCTGAACTCGACCACTCTCTGACCGACTACACTGCACTGCACTGCCCAGTGTCACGCACCCGAATTGTGAGACGACAGGCGTTGGGCCTTCCACGACCACTCCTGCACGACTCCTATTCGTCGCCTTTCTTTCCGTTCAACAGGCCGAGCTCGTCGTAACCGCCAGAGGGAAAGGGAAGCCTCCTCCTCTCCGCCTCGCGACATTCTTCTACGCCTTTTTTTGGCTGGCGACATACTTCCAATCTGGCAGCGCCGCAATTTCGCCAAGTCCACGCTCTTTTTTTCTTGTTCTTTTTTGACCACAAGTCGGTCAGCGTTGCCCGAGGTGGAACTATCGTGTAACGAACGCACGAACCGACCTCAGGACACGGTACGACTTCGCCATACCAAGCCTGCTTGCTTCGAGCGACTAGAGCCATTCTCTCTTTGACGCTGCTCGGGGCATGGAACTATAGACTCGCACGTACCGACTACCAATATTGCTCTGCCGAAATAGCCCATACCAAATACATACAGCACCATCAACGGCAACTCACGATGCCTAACGTCGACGTCGCCATGGCGAGGAGCCTGAGAGGAGGCTGGTGGGGTTCGATCACGGCAGGTATCGCCGAGAACCTGCAGCAGCGCCAGGTCACAGACGCCGTCAACAATGTCGGGAACACGGTCAACGACGTCACCAACACCGTCACGGACATCAGGACAGCCCTCTCCAGTTGGGACAACTGCATGTCTGTCAGCTGGTGCAAGTACGTATAGACCGTCCCTGGGTCGTCTTGTTGGACCTCGTTCACTGACTTGTCCATGTATAGGTGGCCTGTCATTACCGTCATCATTGTGGGAGGCCTGATTATCTTTTCGATCGTGTGGTGCGTCATCCGATGCATGTGCTGCGGTCTCTCTTGCTGCTGCACATGCTTCTCGTGCCTCAAGTGCTGTGGCAACTGCTGCGGCTGCTGCGATGCGCCGGGCGACAAGAAACACAAGTATCTCGACGAGTCATACGGCGCGCATGCCCTACCCCCGGGCCAAGGCTACAAGTCACAGCCCGCCATGTTCGCCTCGGCCATCCCCGTGTCAAACCCCGAAATGACGCCCTCCCATGGCGTCACCACTGCCTCGCCGCCGCAGTATGCCGAGTTTGACGTGTCGAAAAAGAGACTGTCCGACGCTCTCCCCGCAATGCCCACGTGGGAGAGTGCCGGGTCCAAGCGGATCTCGCTGGAGCAGGAAGCCGTTGAGATGGACACGATGAAGAAGCCAGTCGCCGCGCAGAGCATGAACAACTTGCAGAGTAACCCTACCATCCCCCTCATGGCCACGGGCGCCATGAGCCCGCACCTGCCCTCGCCCAACACGCCGTACGGACAGGCACAGGGCGGATTCGGAGGCCAGGGTCAGCACATGGACTCGAA